TCTTGGCTAGCCCTGCCGAGTGAAATGATTCGTTGATTGAACAGAACATACGATGGTGACTCCGTAGGAGCGACGTCATCCATTTCTTGGCTAGCTGTGGCGAGTGAAATGATTCAACAATCGAACGACACAACACAGAGCGTACGATGGTGTTGAGACTCCGTAGGAGCGACGTTCGAAGGCCAATCATCCATGTCTTGGCTAGCTGCGGCAAGTGAAATGATTCAACGATCGAACGACGCAAAACAGAACGTATGATGGTATTGAGGCTCCGTAGGAGTGACGTTCGCAGGCCAATCATCCATGTCTTGGAATTCACGTAAGCGGCAAGATGGCCAATGGGATGTGGTAGCCTCTTTGGAAAAAGAGACTCCGTAGGAGTGACGTTCGAAGGCCAATCATAATGCTTGCATCCATGTCTTGAAATTCACGTCAGCGGCAAGATGGCCAATGGGATGCGGTAGCCTCTTTGGAAAAAAGATCGCACCAATCAGAATGCTTGGTGCGGACATTGCATGGTCACATACACCTCTATGTCTTTATAATAATGGTGTGGCGTCCATATTTGCAGAATCCATAGACCTCGATTCCTTGTTGCATATATGGATCCATACCTGCCTACTTTGAATACCCCTACTAGGATATTTCACTACATTTTGCTATATCCAAGCCCCCACGCTTCAATATGTTAGAGGGATTCAGACGCTTTGGGGAATATTGTTTTCTCGTGCCTAGCCTCGTTTCTCGCACGTGCGCGAATTTAAATTTGCCAAGTCTGGCCACGAGAAAAGAAATATTGAGTGTTTTTTGAGGAATGTTATGATTATAAGAGATGACTATTGGCGTAATGTTCAACGTCGACGTCAGATTTGTATTAGAGACGCCCATTCAATCTTTTACGCATTTCAGCCCATGGAAGCAGCTGGGTGGTCGAAAAAATGCGTTTGTATACAATTGAATCTCGCGATCGTCATCTCTTACACGATCACATTCTCATCTTTGGGTGTGATCTCCCGACGTATAATCTCGGTCCCAGAATCCCTTGTCGCACGCAGGCGGAGCCGAGGGCAAGAGAAGCGGGTGGCTCCACAAAATAAATGGAGCGAAACCCTAACCACCAACCTCTAACCTCAAGCCCTACCGTCATGCAAACAAGCACGCGTGTCTCGCGCCGCTAATCCGGCTGGTGAGATGTATAAGAAGCTTGTGAAGAATTTGGTTTATATTCCGGGAAGGTAGTACGTAGATACGGACGGGTATAGATTTCAAAAATGACAGATCCGCATTGGAGAGGATGGCACAATCTAATATTTAGTCTTCTGACAGGCACATGCACATAGTCACAAATTCCTGGAGTCTTGTCCAGAGCCCTGCTTAACCAGAACACAGTGCAGCAATCGAAGAATTCCTGAAAATGAACCAGGAATGAGCGCATGTGATTCTATTATTAAGATTGCGCAAGGAAAAAAGAAACTGTAGTCCCTAAGAAACCCAACCAAACCCAACTCACGTCGATTCTACTACCATTACATACGCCACAATTAATGCCATGTACCATTCGGCTGGTAGGTGACGATGACTTTAGCATTACTTTGACCGAACTCAACCTTCTTCATTTGACCCACGATGGAAATGTCGAAGATGGTGCCTGGAGTATACATCCCTGTTGCGGCATAAAATGTGGCGTGCGGAACGAAGTTGTAGGTTGAATCTGGGCTTGCTTTGATTGTCGCCAAAGGAGTGACCTGCGAGCTACCGGAATACGTGGCCCCGATACCCACGAAGTATGAATCTTCATTTTGTTTTTATTAACCAATGGGAATCAGCATCTTCATAGGCTTCTACTTACCACCCTCGTTAAAATCCTGGCCCGTGAGAATCTGGAACGTTCCGAGCGGCGCGTCTGGCTCGGGATCAGTGTTGAAACTGGCGGCGCCATTGTTGACCACCATGCTGAGGGTAGTTCCGTTGCTTGAGTCGGTACCGAGGGTGATTTGTCCGGATGCAGAGGTCTGCTTGAGGCAGGCTCCATTCTGCAGAGTTGTTTTGCCGCATACAACATATATCTCGGAGGCTACGTCGAACTCGCAGCAGCAGCCGCTGGCGATAATGTCGCTGAGGAAGACATTCTGGAACACACCATTGACCAAGTCGTTAACGCTGGGCTTCTCGTAGAAGATGAAGAATTGCTCGTCAACGGGAGAGCAGTTTTGAACCACGATGGTGTATTTGCCCAGGTTGAGGTTGATCTTTTTATGTGAGGGGAGCGAGTGCTTGGGGTAATAAAAGGGAAGGATGGTTCCGTAAGAAGTGGAACGGATGAATGGCTGGGGAGATTGATGGCGGCGACTGGGACGTCGACACGGTTATAAGGACAACCCCTGGCCCCCGGCAAAATCCAAAATTTACATATGAAAACTGCAGCGATGGACCTTCAAGGACGAATACCGTCCATTGACGAATTTCATGCAAAAACTAAAGTTGGGCAAATACATTGTCACGCCCTAGGGAATTTATGAAGCTGGCCGCAGTTATTTCTAAACACCATCTGATGGTAATGAATGTGAGCGCTTCATATTGCGTTAGCAAAAACTAAGTTGTTCAAGGCAACATTGAATTACTGACCTCATGGCTCACTCAATTGGCCACTACAGCACGGATACGGCTGGCAGTCTGTGATTGATGTTGATATATGCCACGCCTTCAGCCTTCAATTCCGTCCCCGCAAAATGGGGGAATGGAAGTTTTCACTAGGAAACCGTTGCGGAACAACCTACGAAGACGTTGCACCTCTAGATCGACCAGAATATTCTCAGAAAAGAGCGTAACTCCTAGCTACCCCAAATCACTTCCATTACGAAGACTCTTTTAGCCTAGCTCCTTCAAATTGAGTGCTATATGGTGTTAGCTAGCTAGATAATTAATTCGTTATCGTATATATTATAGCATGGGAGTTGGAGAACAGGGTTATCAATGGATAACCTCATATTTCCAACTTACCGCATGTAGTCCTTCTGCTTTGTTATGACATTGTCTGATCACGTATGCCGTTTAATCTGATCGAACTCGCAACATTTGTAGTACATGCAGGTTACAGAGGAAACCGGATACATCCTTCTATTTGTCTTGTTCCAAACTCCACTAAGTGATCTGCCTTCCAGCATCAAGGCGAATAAAAGCAATTGTTGGCGTCTGACATAAAATCTGCGCATACTAGAGTATGGAGCGGTACTTTATGAGCTCTCCAATATGTAATACGCAGACCAAATTCCTTCAAGACAAGCGCAAGCTAGAAGAATTTAGTGTCCAGCTGGCCTCCCCTATCGGTGCAGATACTCTTCATTTGAACCTGTACCGCCTTTACCAGCTCTGAAGTCAATGTATACTATATTTTATCGCATAGTACGTACAGTGGTGCCAGCCGTTACTAGACCAGTGGATCTACCCTCTGTATTGTCCCATACCGAGAAGAATATGTGCCCCGCCTAGTTATCTGGTGGCCATCATGGAGTACACAACTCTACTGTACCGTATATTCTGACCGTATCCGATTTCTTGGTATCATCGCAGCATGACAGAACTGTTTCTCTTATTTGTCCGCTTTCAGTCGTACTAGCTTTTATATTCACAATTTCGGGGCGAATAAAACGCTGTCGTCAGGGGTGCATGCGACCTGCGACGCTACAATAAGCCGGATACAGCATAGCGGGTTACAGCGAATCTATGGATCATGTTGACTTCGAAGCTTCCAAAGCACGCGCTCCAATCAAATCCATAGATAGACCTGTATCCAAAGGATCGAATGTCCGCCTCCAGCTAACCACCCATGATGCCGATACACTTGGCAATTTTCACAGTTGATCCATGGTGAGTTGTAGATTGTTCCCCCAGGGCATTTTTATTAGCAAATCTTTGCGGTGGTCCCGTTAGTTGCCTATTGTTTGAGATATCAATAGTCTGTATCGTGACGCACAGTGTACTGTACATACAGTGAAAGGATTAGCCGGAATGCGCACCGGTGGCTTACAGCTGCACAAGCGAGATATACCAATCTAAAGCGCGCCCGAGTGGATTTGTCTGCAACTCCAGCACCTCCCTGAGATCCTGCCCCTCGTTCCGGTACACTGGTTCAAGAGTAAAGCTTCGAAGGAGTATCTGGAGACAGGAGGCTGCGGTTGATGGTGAAAGCCAAGGATGTGAAGGTGTCTGTGCTTAAGAAAGCTACTTTCCAGGAGAAAGAAGAACAAAGCACAGAGCAGTAACCACTTACCGCTATGGGAATCCGTGTATGAGGTACAGTAGTTATACACCTTTGAATCTTTTCTTCCCATTTCTGACGGAGTGCTTGGTACCGGAGGCGAATCACCTTGAGCTCTCTGAAATTAGCTAAGACTTCCGATCATGATATCCTTTGCACCTTCATCATGAATCCACACCACCATAAAAGTGCATTCTACACCTCTTCCCGTATTCCGTTGTCCCATGGCGTGCCCACTGCAAACCCATCTTCGTGGAACTCACCAGCGCCTCACAATCATCCGCATGTTTTACGTACATACTCAGAAGACCCTTGCCGTACCAGATGTCCCGGATGGCGTTCTCAAAACGCTCGCTGGCTACCGACTTGAAATTTCGCTGATAAAAACGAAACTCACAGACATCACCACTGCCAAGCCTGATTGCAAGAGGGAATTTTTGAAACAGCTAGGTGACAAACTTCTGTTGGTTGAGCTCACGGAGATGGTCGAAGAGTGTGAGGGTTTGGACCGTCGAATTATGAGCAGTATGGTGGGAATTGTTAAGGATGTTTTGGAGATTTCTGGGGAGGAAACATTTTAGCGTCTTGAAAGTCTTGAATCATATTTGCATAATTAAAATAGACGTAAGAGGACTAAATGGAAAACAAACTACTTCTATCCTCCTACGCACAATCAAAGTCCGCATCCTTTTCGAGAATTTGTGGTTATGGTTTTGTGTATCTCAATGTTGAGCATCTGCCAAGTCGCATGGTGTAGTGGTTATCACGTTTCGTTTACACTTCTGTGGAACCGAAAAGGCCGCAAGTTCAATCCTTGCTGCGACTAAGCAATTGTTTTTGTTAGTAAAGTTTTGTTTGCCGGAAACTTTTCGCTGGTTGTTGCTACTGGATAAGGTCAGAACTACAGTCACCGGTTCTCCCGCTTCTGTCCTCCGTCCTATGTACTAGCATTTCCGTAGTGTCGAGGCGCAAGGTAACCCTTGCTGCATGTGCGCATATGCCCGAATTGGAAGTATTGTTGATTGCTGAATTTTTGAGCATGTCGAAGAGCTGCATCACCCCAAATTGAGGAGCCGCCACACCACTTCGTTCAACATGTAGATCCTGACAATGGTATCCTCGCACGGTGTGGGTGATGGTACTGTAAGGTGCGGCCTCGGCTAAATAGGGTTTCCGAGGTTCCGTATACTGTATTTATAGTCTTTTCTCCTCAAGAATAGACTATCTTCATTACACTTCACTTCTGACCCCCTACAGGTACCCACACAATGACCCATGCAATTCAGGGCAGGGGAACCAGATTGAGAGCGAGCCGACCATTCCCTCGGCGTTCTCAAATTAGCTAGTTACCACGGTAATTGATACCCAAATTTTAGTCAAACTGCCATCAATGTGCGAAACAAAGATGGATTTGGGCGGGTTAGCTGTTCCAAACACCAACCGATAGTAGGTATGCTAGACATGATAAAGGCAATGTTGACATTACCGTATATCTGCGGGTTGTGTCGGTAGACACCACAGGTGGGGCTGTTCGGGTGTTCGTAGTCGTATTCTGAAATAATTCCCTGGATCTCGAACTCCAGTCAAAGTTGGCCTTTGTAGTTGTCACGTCCATTTCTAGTTCGGACCCTTGTAAACGCTGGTAGCCGGAGTCAGCTGAGGCAAACTTTTGTGTCGATAGCACCAACATTCGGTTTAGAAACGACTGTAACGAGTTGGCAAAATGGCAATCCTATGTGCGTATCTGAAGTTCTCCACGAATTTCATGCGCCAAATATAGCAGCCTGGTGGTTTTATTTCCGACGTTTTAGATACAAATGGTTGTAAATATGTTCTACGCCACCGGCCAAGTTTCCCACCCACCAAGTAAATTGTGATTTACTATATTTTTGATGACTTTCTGGCAACTTCATCAACTAAAGTTTTCAGAAGACCTTCCTGATGGTATCAAGATGCACAGCTGTAAATATGGGCAGTGAACAGAAGGTTTGGTGCTGTAACTGTCTCTGTTTCTGTCAATCCTGCATCTGAGACTATGACAGTAACTGTAGACAGGCACTATCTGATGCCTTTTGAAGCAAACTTCAGGGCACATCATCAATGGTCGAATGACAGTGAACAGTAATTCTCAGGCCGAATTTCACTTGTGGTTGTGGTGTTAGGTGTTTACTTGGTGAGTGGGGTAGGTCCCCTTGAACAAGAAGACAACTTGGAACTTGGCTGGTGGGGTAGAACAAATATTTAAGCAGTGCGAGGATGTCCTCTAGATTGGAGAGTTCTCGCATGCGTAAGATCATGTTAAGGCGTTGTTGTTGTACCCATATAGAGATTGAAGGTCTATCTCGTATCCAGTTGTGAGAAGCTTGTGGGGTTTGAGAGAACCCGGACAATATAAACTTAAGAACAAAGATGTGTGGGTCATGTTGTAAGTGTGGTCGCCTTCTCCTCATGATGTCAGGCCCTACGACGACGCCCTAATAACACCCGCCCTAATTTGTTCTGACCCATTCGTGGAATCGGCCCATCCATGGACAGGGCCGTTCCAAGAATGGGACAACAAAAAAAAAATTTTCAAATTAAATTTGCACCACTAAGAGGACTATTGATAGCTTGAAATTAAATTGTTGGTAAAGTTAACTAAGTAAAATAATTATGGATGAAGTCAGTAAAGCTAGTGAAGTCAGCAAAACCAGCAAAGCCATTAATTATCTACTATACAAATCTCTTCAAGTTCAATCTATACTGCTACTTGAAACCAGCCCAAGATAACTTCTACAAGATGAAAAATTTGTATGCACTATGAGCAGAGAGTTAGATGAAATTTCAACATGGTAGGAGTGAAGTGGAAAAAACTGATTGTAAAAGAATATATAGAAGCAAACCAAAGCTAACTGACTTATAAGATATTTATAGAAGTAAAGTAAAAATCAATGACTTGTAAAAGAGATTATAGAAGTAAAGTAAAAACTACTTAGATATAAAAGACACTTATAAAAGGAATATACATTAAAAACAACTAACTTATAAAAGTAATTTATAACAATAAAACAAAGACTACTAACTTGAAAAAGAGATTAATAAATGTGAAGCTAAGACAACTGATATGTAAATAATATTTATAAAAGGAAAGCAAAGTATAGACAACTTGTAAGAGATTAATAGAAATAAAGCAAAAACAATTAATATATAAAATATATTAACAAAAGGGAAGTAAAGCTGATATGTAAAAGATATTTATAAAAGCAAAGTTACAACTTACTTGTAAAAGAGATTTATAAAAGTAAAGTAGAGTTAATTGACCTGTAAAAGAAATAGAAGTGAAGTGAAGACAACATGTCAAAGATTCAGGGCTGGGTGTTGAGGGTTCAGGGCTCGGGGTTCTGAAAGATATAAAAACCACAAGCCAGATGGCTAAGAGGTCAGGGGGTAGCGGGTAGCTATGAGAACAGAGACTGTATGTAGAGACTCGACCCAGAATCACCAAGTGTGAAAGAAGTGAAAGCCGAAGCGAAATGATTGTTTTATAGATAAGAGAATGAGTGAAGAAAGAAACCTATCCTCCGCCAAATGCCTGGTTTATATACAGTAATTCACTTATTCCATAATACCTCCGAACTCCTGCTTTCTTTGTACTCCGCTTTTGCATGATTCTGTCATTTCCCATTTGAAACCTGATTTCATGCTTTAGCCTTCATTTGAAACCTGATTTCATTCTTGTAGTCCTTTAGCCTCCGTTCGGAATCTGAGTTCATTTTCGTCGTGCATGAGTCTCTGTTTGAAACCTGATCTCATTCTCGTTGTGCTTTATCATTTATATTAATCACCAATCATCACTCCGCCATCGATCGTCACTCAGCACAACCGTGACAGTAGCTCTCGCTCTTCAATGCCAAGTACCTACAAGGTTCACAACCCGGGCTTGCCAGGTTGTTCCGTGTAAAAATCGTTGATTGCCTTGAGTCTATCCATGTCGGTCACAGGCTCCCAGCTGCATTTGTCGTAGCCCCACCATTTTACCAAATACTTCTGCTGCCTCCAGAACAACCTGGAATCGTCTATCCTCCCATCTTCGTACTCTTCTTCTCCATCCACTATTACAGGCAGTGGTCATTGTTGCTTTTGATTTGGGATTGGACCCTGATGGCCTTCTCTAATCTGGATATCGGTTGAATGTCATGAATGCGTAGTTGACTTGGTAGCTTATCTGTGTAGGCGTATGGGCTGATGACCTGTATCATTTGATATGGTCCAATACGTTTCCAGTCCAGTTTCGTAAAGGGTCAGGTTGTTGATATATTTCGTGCATTCAGCCATACAGTATTGCCGACTTCCAATGGCATGCCGACCCTTCGGGACATGTTGGCCTGTTTAGACTGTACGGCCTGGGCTCTTTTCATTTCTACCCTAAGTTTGCTGAAAAGTTGCTCCATCCGGTGGGCCATCTGCTGAGTGTTAACTAATCAAATATTGTTAGATTCTTTGATTGGGTGTTGGCCACAGGTCATTTGAGGATGAAGCCATAGTTGCCAAAAAACGCGGAGCAATTAGTCGTTTTCAAGGTATAATTGTTAGCTGCAAATTCCGCCAATGGTAACCACCAGACCCAATCGTTCTGTTGGTAATTAACAAAATTTTGGACATACTGTTCTATTACTGTATTGACTTTTGCAGTTTGGCTGTCGGGTTGAAGATGAAATGCCGTTGATAGCCTTCGTTCGATTCCCAATCTTTCACAGATGTGTTTCCATATTTCCAAAGCAAATTATGGCCCTCGATCGGAAACTATTGTTTTGGGCTGTCTGTGCAGTCTGAACACTTCTTTAATGTACATTTCTCCCAGCTTCTTTCCATCTACTTTGTCAGTACAGGGTACTCAATGTCGCATCTTCATTAGGCAATTGACTACTATCCATACTACATTGAACCCTTCGCTCTCTGGCAGTCCAACTACGAACTCCATGCTCAAGTCTTTCCATGGTTACTCCGGTAGTTCTTACAGTTGTAACAAGGCATGAATTTTTCCGTGGGTTGTTTTGCTCGGTTGGCAGGTGTGGCAGTTTTGTATGTAGCAGTCTATGTCCTTTCTCATCTGATTCCCGAAATGGCTTCCACCTAGCCGGTTGTAAGCTTTTGCTTGTCCTGGGTGTCCCGTGACTGGAGAAACATGGCATTCCTGTATGCACTTGAGCTTGTCCTTGTCCGTTGGTAGGATTTGTATTTCAGAGATTTCCAGCGACTGATCCTTATGCGTATCTAGCCCTTCATTACTGTCGTACAGGCAATGCTGACATATGTTTTCTATCCAGTTCCATAACTCTTCGGAGCTTATGGAGTCACTATCAAGGTTGAAAGTTTCTGCAAATGCCACAATTAACCCTTTGTATACCCTTTCATCGAGGTTTTCCGTTTTAGCACAATTTGCTGGGTTTTTCTGCCCCCCCCTTTGGAGGAATATCTCCTGGCATTCTTGTGAGTGCATCGGGCTTCTGTCTTTGGTTGCCTGGGCAATAAATGATTTTGAACTTGAAGTGGAAGAGAAATTTGGACTACCTTGTCTGTCTTCAGTTTAACAGTTTTGACGTCATAAAGTATTCCAGGTTCTGGTGATCTGTGGGAATCGTAATTGGATGTACTGAACCTTCGCACTCAGGCTTCCACTGCTCCAAACTTACAACTATCGCGCTTAATTCTTGAACATAAATTTCGTAATTTTCTTCGGCAGGCGAAAGTTTTTTGGAAAAGAAGGCCACTGGATGTAGCACCCCTTGGTTGTCATACTGAGAAAGAACTCATGCGGATATGTAACTTGAGGCATCGGTGTCAAAG